ATAATAGAAAATTTCAACACCCCAATGGAGGACTCCTTCCAATCAAAAGATCTTCTATTCTGCTCTTTCCAAATGCTCCACCAAACACAAAAAGGGGTTACCCTCCAGAAGACTCTCGCCTGAGCCCCCACCCATTAGCCCCTCTAAATATCCAACAATTCCCGAGATGTCCGAGGCATGACCTAATGAATACCAAACAAATAAAAAATGAGACTCCAACAATCATGAGCCACAGGACAATGCAGCAGCAGGTGATCCATTGACTCCCCATTCAACTTACAAAGACAACACCGATTAACAATAGTATGTCTTCACTTCCTCAAGTTATCCAAAGTCAAAATCTTACTCCAAGCTGCAATCCACACAAAAAAGGCCACCCTAAGAGGCGCCTTGGACAACCACACCGTCTTCCATGGGAAGGAAACGCCATGAAAATCAGAGAGGCACACAAAAAAAGACCGGACCTGGAACATCCCCTGAGAAGAAGGCACCCAAATCAGGGAGTCAACACCAGTGCCCTCCACCTCCTGTCTGTACAAGAGAGCCAACAAGCCAGTGACATCATCCAACTCCCAATCCTGAAAAGATCGCCAGAATCGCACATCCCAAGATAACCTCCTGCTATCAAGGCAATAGTAGTTAGCAACCATAACATGTTTGTCAACAGCAATCCTAAACAGCCTTGGAAACAAAAGAGCAAAAGACTTATCCGCACACCAGGGATCCTCCCAAAACCGGACAAACCTTCCATCCCGAACTTTGAATCTAATATGTTTGGAAAACTCGTCCCATCCTTTTCCAATGGCCCTCCACACCCCTACTCCACTAGCAGACCTGACTGGCCTAGCTGACTACCCCCCTCTCTCCTCCCCAAAGCGACAAGAAATAACCCTTCTCCATAATCTATGCCTTTCATTGCCGAATCTCCAAAGCTACTTACCGAGGAGAGCACTATTAAAGGGGGCCAATCTCCTAATCCCAAGCCCACCCAACTGAAATGGCCTGCAAACCTGCTCCTATCTGACAAGATGATACTTAAACTCCTCTCCACGACCCCCCCAAAGGAAGTTTCGTTGAAGCATCTCAAGACGTCCAACAACCGAGGCTAGAACCCAAAAGAGCGAAAGAAAATACGTTGGGAGGCTTGACAAGATACTCTTTACTAACGTAACTTTACCACCCTTGGAGAGATATTGCTTTTTCCAACCAGCTAATCTTCTCTCGACCCTCTCAATCACCGGGTCCTAACTTCCCACCCTCCTGGCCAAGTCCCCCAGCGGCAAACCCAAATACGAGATAGGGAAACGTTGTGTCCCACACCCTAGAACAGTAGCCAAAGTGTCCACCTCCTGAAGCTCCCCCACAGGGACAAGCACACTCTTGCCCACGTTGACTTTCAAACCAGAGACAGCTTGAAAGCAAACCAAAACACGTCTCAGATACCTCAGCTGGGACACCTCTGCCTCGCAAAAAACAATAGTGTCATCCGCAAAGAGCAAGTGAGAAATCTCCATCTGCTGAACGGAGTCGGGGCCGATCTTGAAGCCCCTGATAAAACCCAAGTCCACTGCACTTCTCATCAACCTACTAAGAGCCTCCATAACAATAATAAAAAGGAACGGGGAGAGAGGGTCCCCCTGCCTCAGATTGTGAGAACTGCCCAAAAACCCCGCAGGAGACCCATTCACCAACACCGAAAATCTGACAGTAAAACATATGAAACAATCCATTTCCTCCATCTCTCACCAAAGCCCATCCTCTCCAACAGGTAGAACAGGAAATTCCAGCATACATGATCATAGGCTTTCTCGAGTGTGTGCATACATGTACTTAACCAAAAAAAAAAAAAAAGAGTGTATGCATACACGCAGGGACGGAGCCATTCGAGGTCAGTGGCGGCAATTGCCCCCACTGATTTTTTATTTATTTTTACTAATATAACCTATTAATTTACATTTTTGATATATATATATATATCTACACAATTACACTACCGCCCCCACTAGAATTATTAGAAAATTACACTATTGCCCCCCCCTCATACAATTTTCGGGCTCCGTCCCTGCATACACGTGCTGTATATCATACACGCGTAAAGAAGAAGGTATCATACAAATAGAGTGAGATGGGTCTTTGATTCGGTATTTGTTAATAGCTTTAGGGAGAGAGACCTCCGTGGATGTGTTTGATGGGTAAAAGAAGATGGGTTTTTGCGAAGGATTTTCAGATGAGTCTTAGAGTGAGAAAGAGAGTTTTTTTTAGAGAGAAAGTGAAGGGTGGATGTGTGTTTGATGAGGAAAAGAAGATGGGTTTTTGCTAAGGTTTTTAGATGGGTCGTTTGTTAGAGAGAGGAGGAGAGAGGGGTTAATGGTTGAGCTTTTGATATTGAAAAAAGAGGGGTTTTTGCTTTGGGATAGAACTAGGTCTCTAGGATTTTAGTGTTTGCTTTTGCAGTTCTGATTGTTTTCCATGGAGACTAGAAGAAGGTAGATAGAGAAAGCGTAGAAATGTGAGAAGGTTCACTGGGTGTATTTGTCTGTCAAGTACCAAAAAAATAAAAAGGACAGAAAAAGATATATATGTGTGTGTTTGTGTGAGTGTATTCATATGGTCACCATGGAAGTACCCTTCAAATGTATATGTATGAAAATACCCTTCTTGTATATATAGTTGACATATATATATATATATATATATATATATATGTGCATGTGCTTGTAGAGAGAGAGATGCCCAATTCTATTTTAGAAAGAGGCAGAGTTGAGAGAGAGAGGGCATCAAGAGAAAGGGAAAAAGTGTCCTCACAATCATTTTAAGGTTAGAATAGCCATTTTTAGCTTGAGAAAGTGATGAGATTAGTGTTGACTGCTTTTGAGCATAACGGAGACTGACGGGAGTGGTCAATTATCCAAACTAGAGGGGAGGTCTTTGTTATTTGCCCAATCTATAGTGGACGTAAGTGTAAACTAAACTTTTTGAATTGTAGCTGCTTACTTATAGTAATGATCTTAGGGTATCATCGTGATGGATGACTAGAAACCGTGAATTCTGTTTTGACTAGAACATAATTTATACTCGTATACTTGCTAATTTAACTTTGTCATAATTACTTACACTTTGTTTGGAACTAATTTTTTTTGAGATTTGGATTTAAAATTGGAAAGGATTTGGATTAGAATTAAAATGGAATTTCATCTGTGTTTGGAACAAACCGGAATTTAAATGAAAGGAATTACTTTATGAGATTTGCAGAGGTGTAATATTGTTAAGTTAAAAAATTATCTTTTCAGATATGGTAGTTATTTTCCAAATACCGTCAAATACTCTAAAAAAAAAATTCTTGGTTTTGATCAGATTTACTCGAATTGTGATTGAAAAGGAGAATCTAAAGACAAGATATTGTGAAACAATTAAACAATGTTTGTGTTGCATTTGTCACGACCCGCCTCACACCGTGTAAATATTGTGCTCTTTGAACACTCACCTCTCGGTATTTTGCTCAAAACGCGTCTACATGGTTAAAAGGTGTCCACACATATAAGTGTCATAAAACCTCTCCCACAAGCGATGTGGGACACCACAATCACCCCCAGTTGGGACCTAGTGTCCTCGCTGGCGTGACCCTCACGAGCTTGTGCACGCTCCCCCATTTCCCGTTGGGGATTGGCTCTGATACCATCTATCACAACCCGCCCTGCATATTGTAGATATTGTCCGCTTTGCACGCTCTCCTCTCGGTGTTCATGGTTTTGCTCAAAACACGTCTACATGATTAAATGGTGTCCACACATATAAGCGTCATCAAATATCTCTCTCTAGGTGATGTGGGATGTCACAAACCCAGAGCAATTTCTGTCACCTACAAGGACAGAGTAAGGTCTCGTTTGGCAATGGTTTCCGTTTTGAGTTTCTATTTACATCCGAAACAGAAACACAGTGTGTTCATTTGTGATTGGAAGTATGTTTGGTAACATAAAACTTGTTGCAAGATTTTTGGAAGCAAAAACATGAAAACATGTTTTGTAAAAAAGTGTTGCATGATTAAACAACAAAATGGCTGGTTAAAAAAGGTCACCTAGAGTTTTTATTTATTTTTTTATTTTTTATTTTTGGGTATTGTTCACTGTTACAGTGTGAAAAACATTAGGAAACAACAATTTTTTTATTTTTTGGGTACCCACTGCTATAGTTACAAAACGTGTTGCGGTGCTTTGCCTCGTTACAATGCACCACCCACAACGCAAAATACGAAACAAAAATGGTTGCCAAACAGGCCCTAAGGGTATTTGCTGAGCTTATTTTCATTTATAAAGTTAATATAAAATCCTTTCCTCCCATCAACAAAGATTAATTCAAGCATACATAGTGAACACTAAAATTTTAAAAGCTGAAGTTTGAATTATTTAACCCTAAATGATAATGCAGGACTATTTTTTTTTCAGTATATTTTGATACCTATGCTTGTTCAATTGCTTCTTCTTAACCTTTCACATAGAAATTTTCAACTTGAGTACAATAAGCGATGAAAATTGTTTTTGGCAATTGACGCGGGAAGGAACTATCAATCAGCACATTTTGACTTGAGTATGGGCTATAATAGTTTGTGTGCAATCAATTCCTTGGTTTCCTTTCTGACTTAGGAAGTGAAGTAAGCAAGCCAGCTCTTCATTAGATAACAGTTGAGTCTAGACTGTCTAGTCTCTCCTCCTAAGTTCATTGTTTGACGTGAAATCAGTTGGGGGTCTTTCTTTATTGTGGTATTGAAAGTTTTTTGCTTTGTTTTACCGGGTTTGGACTTTGATGGTCATGGTTTGGCAGTCCTTAATTTATTTGCTCTTTGAATGTTTCAGTGACAGTTCCTTTTGTTTGTTAAACAATCCAGCTTTTATACATGTGTATGCTTTTGATTATATAATTGAAAAACGTTTTGACATGATACATTGAACAAGTTCTTTTTTGTTATTATTATTATTATTGTTATTATTTTTGTATGTTTTCAGAGATTTTCTCTTGGGGGAAGATTGATCTTTGGTCCCGATGTGGCATCTCTGTTTTTGTCCACACTCCTAATTGCAGGCCCTGCAATAGCTTTTTGTATAAAAGTCTACTGCATTCATTGGTATCCCGTAGTTATTGTGGGATTAATCCTCACTGTATTGGTAAGTAACGTTAATTTCATTCTACCTTCCAGTAGTTTTATTTGTTCTCAGATTGTTTCATAAATAAACAATACATAAGTAAATAAAATTATGGCAAAGAAAGCTTGTTCCCCAGATTAGATAACCTTTTTAATTATCCTCTTTTATCTACAATATGTAGTGAAAGATCTCAAAGGTTATACAATATTTAAATAGGAAGAGACATGAATATTTCAATAAACCTTTACATTATATATGATGATCACTTATCAAAAAGAAAATTATATATGACGATCACCTTAACTGGAAAATGTTATCCAATAGATAATAATCTGAAAGAGGTAAGTAAATGCTCAAACAATTCAATAGTGGATTTGACTTTGAGAGGCATGTGGAAATGAAATGCTCATGTTTTGTGCTTGATGGAATTGGGAAAAGTTTACTTTTTGTGAGGACCTAGTGTTGGCATATTTCCGTAACAAAAGCCGGTGCGAGTACTTTTTTTATTTTGAGTCACTTAGAAAAAGTTGATTACCTCCCATTGTCGATGACTCATGAAGATGATCACAACATTGAAGAGCGTTTTCATCATCAAGTCAGGCCCATTAGCATCCAATATGCTAAGAATCTTTCTATGATTGATCTTGCTATCGATAACTTTGATCTAAGAAGCATGGAAACGGATACGGCCGCAAATCCTAAAAAATTAGGACACGGACACGGCAGGGACACGGCAAATAAGAAATTTATTTTCTATATCTATGATGTTTTTTTTTTAAAGAAATTACGAGCAATATTATATATTACAATCTCATAATGAAAATAAAAAAATGTGCTTTGCTGGGAAAAAGGAAGAATGATAGAAAGAAAGAGGAAAAAAAAAAAACCAAGAGACAAAGAGGATAATGGTTTTGTTAGAAAAAGAATTAGGCCTTAGTTAAAAATAAAGGTAAGAATCCTAGAAGAGGAAAAAGTTCATGGGGAATAGAGGAAAAAGGAAAAAGAAACAAAAAGAAATTTATTGTGAAAGGAAAAAATAAGTATTCATGGTTTGTGAAGAAAAAGAAGAAGAAAGAAAAGAGGAGGACGAAGAATAAGAGAGAGAAAAGGAGAAAGAGGAGAGAGAGATAGCGAAGCTTGGTTGGTGGGACAACAAGAGAGTCAAAGATGATTGTGCAAGAGTTCGGACCTTTGAACTAAAATATAAGGGTGAAATGCAAAAAAACTCTCCTGTAGTTTGAAAAGTGTGCAAACAACACCCCTCATGTTCAAATCCCACCCTTGTAGTTTGAAAAATGAGCAAACAAGGGCTTCTGATCCCAAAAAGTGACATATGCAGGTCATGTGTCCAAAAAAGGCTCTTTAATATCAACACTACCCTTTTGAACTTCCCAAACTGCCCCTCATTCATTTCTCCCTCATTTCTATATATAATAAATTGCATTATTTCTCTCTCTATAAATGCTCTATTTATATATATATATATATATTTTTTCTCTCTATAATTTCTGTTTGTATACATTGTTTTCTTCCCATTCTCTGTCTCACTCTAATGGCTCTCACACGTATATAAATTCTATTTCTTTAATACTACTAATAATAAATAATATATAAATTAAATTTATCTTTCTTCAAATATTCTCTTTATATCCTAGTATGTATCAGAGGCTCTTTGCATGTCCATGTGTGAGATGCTATGTCGTGTGTATATATACAATAATATATATATTTTTATAGAAATAATAATATTTTCTAAAACATAAAACTGATTTACATATTATGTAAGTAATTTATTTTCCCATATTCACGTGATCAAATAATTAAATATTAATTTACCAAAAAAAGAATAAAATTAAATATCAATAAGACGAATATATATACACCTAAATGTCTATACCTAAATGAAATCTTTGGTCAAACATTAAGGGTTTGTCATCTGTATAAAAGAAAATAGTTTATTCGTACAGAAAATATATAAGTATTTTTATATTTATTTATATTACTATTTAGTAATAATTCATAGGAATATGATTTGACACTTGACTTTATATATATATATATATATATATATATATATATATATATATATTACATTATATTTCATTTGATTTTTTAGATAAAGATAATAATAAAAATTATTTATTTGATTTAAAGATATATTTTACATTATATATATATTTTTTATTAATTAATTTTTTACATTATATTACATTTGATTTTACTCTTTAATTTTGTGTAAGCCCTTTTGAGTAATTTCAACTTCTACTCATCTTTTATTATTTTTGTAAAGAGAATCTTGAGGGACATTTTCGTATTTTTGCCTATTTCACTTTATTTAACTGACAATAAGCCCTTATTTGCTCACTTTTCACACTTTTTTTTGCACTTCACCTAAAATATAAGAATAAATATCTAATTGTTTGAATATAAAATTGTTTTATGAAACAACAAGTTTGTTAGTAATTATGTAATTAAACAACTCCTACTTATTACACTTAAACTCAACGGTGTTTCTAAAACTTTCTTAAAAATCCCCAAGAATGCGACACGCATGTCAAAAGCGTGTCCCGATATTTGAAAAATATAAATTATTCGGACACGTTTTTTGGCATGTCTGACATGTGTTAGGGTGTCTCCGACACGGATTCTTTGCCCTTTTAGGTGTTCCATGCTTTCTAGACTTTGATAAAATATGCAGAATTTTTATCACCCTCAACCAGCCATTTAACATGAGATTTCTGCTTGAGGAACCTATTATCTGCCTGGGATAGTGTTGTAAAGCATAAAACAGAAGCGAAGAGATAAGTAAAATAAGTAAAACACAAGATATTATGTGCTTCAGCCACTAAGGCCTACATCCACGGCACAGAGACCCCAAAGGGCTACATCACTTTTATAATACTCTCTTAATTCATATACAATACAATAGTGGAGGCTCCTTTATATAGGAGAATAAATTATGAGAATGGAAAGAGGGAGAAAATAGGAAACAAGGAGGATTTTTCTCCACTGATTCGTCTAGTAACACTATATCTTCAGTAATAGGAAACAACATCAATTACTGAAAGATTTTCCTCCACTGATTCCTCCATTAAATCTTCAATACTCCCCCTCAAGTTGGAGCATGAATGCCCGACTTGCCATTGAGATGACGAGTAGCAACAAGTGTGAATGATGAAGAGAGAAGAGAGAAGACGAAGAACAATGCTACCAAACACACCGACAGCCCAAACAAGTCAACAAAAAACTACCGGAGACACGGTGAAGGTCAACATAAAATTGCCGGAGACACGGCAAAGGCGAGGACAATGCTACCGAACACACCGGCAGCCCAAACAAGTCGATAAAAACTGCTGAAGACACGGCAAAGACGAAGAACATTACTGCCAAACAAACTGGCAGCCCAAACAAGTTGCGTGTGTCCGACACGGATTCTTTGCCCTTTTAGGCGTTCCGTGCTTTATAGACTTTGATAAAATATGCAGAATTTTGATCACCTTCAGCCAGCCATTTAACATGAAATTTCTGCTTGAGGAACCTCTTATCTGCCTAGGATAGCTCCAAGTAATTGTGGATCAAAGTTTTATCTAGCACTCGAAAAGTGCTCTGATTGAGGGTCACTATCAAGATGAGATTGGCATGCATTGAGCTCTTGTTTTGCAAGCAAGGTTCCGTGAGATATGTGGCTATAATGCTTCTTGTTCAGGTCTCAGTTCATACTTTAACAATCTGATGGGCGATAGTCCTCCCCCTTATCATGGCAAATCAGTTCTTGCTCCATTTGTCACCTTGAAAATTCCTACCCACTTCTTACACAACCTCACTGCCATTCCCACAGCAGAGGAAATTTGGCAATGCATCTTCTCGATGGATAACAACAAAGCTCCAGTGGTGCAGGGCAGTAGCGATAAGCTGCTGTCCAGCAACTATAGCCGTGAAAAAACCACGAAGGAAAGGGATTTCCAGCAATAAACAGTCAGAGAACTAGAGAGAGAGCAATAGATTGAAATTGGAGCGTAGAAAGATGAGTTCTAAGGCAAAGAGACCCGGAGAAACTCTAAATCAGATTTTTTAGAATAAGAACTGCATACAAAGTCTCTTAATAGACTATTTATACTAGGGTTACAGCAGCCCTAGCATCCTAACCCTTGATTACTTCAATAACTATTAAATCCTAACCTTTCAAAGTACTTAAAAACTCACATGACAGTTAAATGACTATTTACAAAAGACTTGGACTATAACTATCATCTACCAAATAACATAAAACATAAAAATTAAATAAGACACATAGAAAATAAGCAAATAAGTAAGTCCCCAAATAACTAGAACCCAAGCCTAGTTGGCTAGTGGGTCCGGTTAGTCTTGGAGAGCCTTGTAGATGCTCCTGCATCAACTCCACCCGGTTGGGAAAAACTCGACTCCGGCGAGAAAGCCTCCACAACTTCAGCATATATTTCTGGATCAGTTCTCTTCAGCTCTTCTTCAGCAATCCATGTATTGTCACTAGCAGGTTCACCCAACCACTTCACTAGAAACCGCCATTGCTGGAGTCGAGTTTTTCCCAACCGCATAAATGTGCTAGGAGCATTGGATAGTCCGAATGGCATCGCTAACCATTCGTAAAGTCCATTTGGAGTTTTGAAGACCGTCTTCCATTCATCACCACTCCTCATCCGAATCTGATGATACCCGCTTCTCAAGTCTATTTTTGATAACACCTTGGACCCCACTAACATATCAAGTATATCCTCTAATCGAGGGATGGGAAACCTGTATTTTACTGTAATTTTGTCAATGGCATGGCTGTCCAAGCACATCCTCCATGATCCATCTTTTTTTGGTGTTAGCAATGCTGGAACAGCGCAAGGACTCTTGCTCTCACGCACAAAACCCTTAACAATCAAGTCAACACTTGCCTTTGAATTTCAGCTCGTTGTGTGGGTGGCATTCTATAAGCAGGAAGGTTTGGTAAGGCCGCACCAGGCACCAAATCAATAGCATGTTGAATACTCCTCATTGGTGGCAAACGTTGTGGTAAATCATCACCAACCAGCTCTTGGAGCTCCATTAGAATATGCTGAATTTCAATTGGAAACTCATCAAATTTTAAAGGCTCGTCCTCTTGTACTTTCTTAGCAACAAGCGCATACATAACTCCCATTTCCTTACTCTCAAATTCAAACTTTTTGGCTGTCAAAAACCCATTAACTTTGGCAGCCTTAGAAGTGCCGGTGATTTCTTCTTTAAGTGGCTGCAAAGTCAACTTTTTCCCATCTTTGTGAAACGTGTAGGTATTGGCTCTAGTATGATGGATCATGTCTTTGTCAAACAACCATGGCCTTCCTAATAAGATATGACAGGCATCCATACGAACAATATCACACCAAGCTTCATCGTTAACCGTATTACCCATAGTGAATTTAATCAAACACCGTGAAGTGACCGGCACCTCGTTCCCTTTTTCGAAACTATGCAACCTTGTTGGGACTAGGATGCTTCTCAGTTTGTAACTTGAGTTTGTCTACCGCCTCCTGCGAAATAATGTTCTCAATGCTACCTCCATCAAGAATGACGTTACACACCTTTCCACCACAAAGTACTCATGTGCGGAATATATTGTGTCATCTCCAGTCTTCTTCCTCGACTTTGGGTGTTGTCATCACTCGTCTCACAACCAAAGACTCTCCTTCTACCGGAAAAAGATCAACAACTTCATCTCCGTCGTTATACCCATCAAATACTGGTTCATGTAATTCTGTTTCTTCATCTTCAAACTCTGCTAAGTTCACCCTTCGTTGTGGACAAGCTTAAGATGTGTGCCCCTTCTCTCCACAAGTGAAACAACGAACTTGTGAAGTGATGTCACCCTTTGAATTGCTTACACCTGCACTGTTTTGTGGTCCAAATCTTACTATTTCCTTTCCCTTTTTACTCCTATCAGCACCCCAAATGTTCCTACCTCCTGTTGGGCGCTTGGGATAGCACCCTAAGCACTTTGAGAACCTCTAACAGCAGATGTACTCCTCTGCCAAACAGCACCTGGGCAACCAGAAACAACTCTTCCGCCGCCACAACGCAGCACTCTTTTTTCCGCCATTAAGGCATGTTGTCGAGCATCTTCTAGGTTGAACAAACGGACCACCCCCATCTCATCTCTAATGGACTGATGCAAACCAGAGAGATAACGGGATGTCAATTGTTCGTTACTCTCATTTAAACCAACTCGGATCGAGAGATTATTAAACTTAGATGTATATTCTTCAACGGACATGTCTTGTTGCTTCAAACTATGAAACCTTTCATATAACTCCATTGAATAATCGGCAGGCAGAAATTGCTTTTGCAATTTTGATTTCATATGTTCCCATGTGTTGATTTTTCGCTTCCCTTGCCGAGCACGCTGTTCTTCAACTCTCTTCCACCATTGAAGTGTAGTATTCTTCAACTTAAGCTTTACAAACAACACCTTTCTATCTTCGGCCATAGGCTTCCACTCAAAGTAATTCTCCAAGCTTGCCTCCCAATCTAAGTAATCTTCAGCGTGCATCTTTCCATAGAAGTCAGCAACTTCAATTTTAATTCCTCCACCATTCAAATACAACACACGAACCAACTGCTCTTCCAATCTGCCGTGATCCAGATTTTCTCGATTTTCCGAAGTTGTAACGCTATTTTGACATATTTGGAGTGCGAATCTCGAAATTGCTATTGGACACAAAACGTCGGGCTTCGAGTCATCTTTCCGTAGCTGCTGAATTTGCCCAATTTGGAGTTTTGAGTAAACAGTTATGCCCAAAATACTAAAGTAGGTCCAGAATTTTCATCAATGCTCGAGCCCTATAGAGTTGTGCTCGAGCCCTAAAGCCTGAAACTTCTCCAAATCTTTCCGGTTGAGTCCCGGATTAACCCGGAAGGCCCCAAACATGTCTCTAAGCATCGGGAACATCGTAATAAGCTCTAAATACATGGAATTGACCGTCTCTTTGGGTAAAAACCTACGAAAAGCAAATAAACAAAAATAAACATAAGAACCGGATAAAAGTATCACTAAGGCTTTAACATATGCTAATATACAAGTCATTCCATAAATCGTGGCTATCACATATGTTAACAGTTATAATATAAGTAAATAATTTTTTTGAGGGACTTTCTATTGGCTGGGGCCTTAGACGACCACCTAAGTCGCCTAAGGCTCCAACCGACCCTGCAAGGGGACCCATTACCCCATTCCCTTTTTGTTATCACTACAAAAATCCTTTTCTCAGCCCTCTCTTCCTCTATCATGGACAATCCCCACTTTCAGTTTCATTAGTAATAGAATTTTGTTAGGATTCTATTTCAATGCTTATTTATACGTGTGCTGATACATTGAGAAGGAACCTTTGGATGATTATTGAATATTATTGATTATAATGATTTCTTCCTTCTATTTCTTCTTCTTCTTCCCCTCTCATTCTCGCACCCGTCCCGTGGCAGTTTGGTGTCAGACCGAACGATCCGAGTTCATAGCAAAGATCCATAGCAACAATCGTTACTGTTACAGAAACAAAACCATTGTTCATTGTGTTCTTACTAAATTACTAAAATATCCTAATATCAAAACATTACTAAAATTATATTAACAATAAATGAAAATCAACCCTAATTATCTATCCTTGCCCATCTCCAATCGATAGAGGTGAAACATGTGCACTACAAGCTCTCGGGCCATGTCCCGTTATCCGTCAATTCCTCTTGTTTGAGGCTTGTGTCACGTCCTTTTTATTCTTTGTTGCATTCAATAAACTCTTCATTTACCAAAAAAAAAACAAAAAAAAAAACATTGAAGAGCATCAAACAGAAATTGGTGTAACATTGTTGATCACTCACAATTAGGGTTATAATGGAACTTGAGTGCGGACACTCTTTGATTGCATGTTCTCGTTTAGTTTTTTTAATTGTACTTAGCCTAATTTTTGTAGTTCACAAGCTTTTTGTTTGCATAAGAATGTCTTTACTAACATAAGAGTTCAATTTAGGCAATTTGCATGTAGATAGATTGATCCCTCATGCAGAAATATTCATCTCCTAGATGTTGAGAGCAAGGGATTGCCCCCTTTAGTTAGAGATTGATACCATGCCAGGGCACGAGTTTCCTTATTTTATTCAACTATAAAGACTTGTTTCTTGTGGATTACAGTATCTAAAACCTATATATATAATCAAGGGTTGTAGCCTAGTGCTACTTTCTCACCTTCCAAATAGAAGTCAAGTTCCCGCAGGGGTAAAGTCGGTGTGTGATTTTCAAGTAGGGAAAAAAAACCTATATATATACAGATTAGGGTTTTGAAAACATAGATAATAAATAGAAGAGGCATTGATGAGTAAATTTACATAGAGATTCTATTCATAAGATAGCTTTCATGAATCTTTATTTTTATTTGTCACACACGTTGGGAGATCAACTAGATACGAGTATGATCTTGTGTTATTCCAAAGAATTGAAGAAGACATATTTTTGGAGAATAACAAGTGGCGAATCTCATATTCATTCATCAAACAACTATGGGTGTTTGGGCAACGCGTGGTTGGACACTAGTGAAAAAGCGAATTGCGTGGGGAGCGGATTCAATGACTAACAGCAGTAAAGTTGAAGAGAACGTCTGGCTTGAATCAAGGTAAATTTTTAGAAGTAAGAATCTGAGACCTTGAGGTTCAACTTTTTACACCCAGATGCTGCCCACTGGTTTTTTTTTCAAGTAAATTTGGTGTGTACGTGTGATTGTTTTATTTTGCTTATTATTGCTTTGATTATCTTTCTATGTTTGAATCACCAATTAGATTCAATAAACAAAGACATTAATATTAAGACATTCTAATTAATAATTAGTATAATTAAATTTAAATTAACAAATCAGCAATTAACATTTAGGGTTTTGTTAGACCTACTTATCCCCCCTCTAGGTTTGATTGGCATGGTACCCTGACATCATGGGTACCAATCTGATCCATCACTTTTTTTTGTCTTTTTTAATTCTTTCATAGCTTTAAAATATCGCTACTTCTACACATACAAGTTCAAGTTTAATTAATTACAATGTTGTGCCCAGCAAGAAAAAGAATGAAAAGTTAAGTACTTTTACAGAATTCTTTTATTAAGATTTGTGTCATTCAAATGCTACACAAATCATAATGGAATTATTTCATTTTCATGTGTCTCTAATGATATCAAATGGTTTCTCGAGCATCTTGTTTGCAATTATTATGACTTTTGACCATGTTGTGCTTCTTCTTATTTACTTTGGTAGCTTGCCCTTCTATGACATAAAGATCAACAGTAAAAATCCAACATTTTTAAAAAAATTTCATGCAGGATTTAACACTTCTCTGCCTGACATCCAGTAGAGATCCTGGAATAGTCCCCAGAAATGCCAGGCCTCCTGAATCAGATGAGGCATATGATATAGCTACTCCATCTATGGAGTGGGTCAATGGTAGAACCCCTCATTTGAAACTACCCCGGACAAAGGATGTGATTGTGAATGGGCACACAGTTAAAGTGAAGTACTGTGACACATGCTTGCTTTATCGTCCACCCCGTGCTTCCCATTGCTCCATCTGCAACAACTGTGTTCAAAGATTTGATCATCATTGTCCGTGGGTTGGTCAATGCATTGGAATAGTAAGCTATTTGCAGCAATCTTATTCTTAAGAACTTAAATAAGGTTACCACATTCCATTAATACGTTGGAGATGACTGTGATCAGTCTGATTTGTTGGACACTCTTGAGTCCACCAATGTTTTATCTCCTGTTTAGACACTTGCACAAGTGTCTGCCTCTAATAATTCGAAATTGTGCTGAAGAGAGTATTTTGTGTCTTCTCGTTCCAGATCATATTATAATGTTCATAGTTAGTAAAATATGGAATGAGAAAAAAAGAGTATGTGATACTTATGTATAAAATATGATTTTTTTTCCCTTATACGATAAAAAAAATCCGGTATAAAAAAATGTAAATTGTAAAAATGCGCACACACACACACACACACATATATATATGGACATAATACACATGCTAATAAAAATCGTGACAAAAGATATGGTAGCATTTATATATTATGTTTAAATATATTAGGATAATTCTTATTTTTTTCAATCAAATTAAAAGAGTGATGAGATGAGGATAATTTTTATTTTTTTTCAATCAAATTAAAAGAGTGATGAGATGAGGATAATTTTTATTTTTCTTCAATCAAATTAAAAGAGTGATGAGATGAATTCATGGCTGTAGAAATATTACAGAACATTTATAGAGTTCGTATTTATTTGTTTCAATATCTTATTTTTTGTACTTGCCAAAAAATAGATCTTCTTTTTATCTCAATTAGTAATATGTAGTTTTAGCAAATTATGTATAATTTCATGGTTGAATTAATTTGTCATAACATTTAACAAAATACTTAGATATATAACGTTATATGATACTAGTTATGGCTTAACTTCCTGGAAATGAAATGGTTAGGTTAATTAACGGCCGGTTATGTTATTATAATTGTTCAATGTGATGTTGTGGCCCGAATTTTGTTTTAGACCGGCGTTGTGCCCCTGAGGAAAAATTTTTGACCTATTTTTTAGCTTACGAGTCGTGGACCCTGTTTAGAGTTCTCGTGTAGCCCGGTATATAAGGGCATTTAGGATTTGGAGTAGGATAACGAGAGACACTGAACATCATAGAAAAGAGAGTGAGAGCGAGAGCTAGGGTTTGGGGGCTGAAACTTGTAGTCTCCTGATTTACGCATAATAAAATCTTTCGCCATATCTTTACCGTGGATGTAAGCACAACTTGTGCCGAACCACGTAAAACTCTGTGTGGCGTGTTTACTTTTCTGTTGTGATTCATGATTTGTTCTTGGTTGTCGGCATTTGTCGTAACATGCACTATAGAAAAAATTAATGTTTTCTTCTAATAATATGATTAAATGCAATGTAAACTTCTTAAAAGATTTATGTAAATGAAGTATTTTTTCATAATGCATAATATATATACCGTTTAATATGTGTATAATATGATTCAAGTAAAAAGTATGACTATTATTCATTAAGTTCGATGTTTTTTCTTAATTGTATGTATGTACGTGCATTATAGGCTTATAATGAGCATTTATTCCATATTTTGATGTTCATGTTTTTTTAATTATATATTTTTAACTATGACAATTTTCATATTCTCTTCAATATTTTCTTCTATAAGCTTTTTCAGTTTTTCTTTTATTATTTATTTTTATTCAGCTTTTCCACTTACAAAGGGAAACTCAGGTACACATAAATGCATATGTTCAGAAAGAAAAATATTTGTTCAAAGAGAAATAGTAGCCACCCTTGTCCTGATTTTGGGAGTTGCCACTCAACACCATTCAGAAGTGTCAACCATGATACTGTGAGCCATGTTCACAAACAACAGGACACAAATGCTGTTAGTGTCAGACCAATATATCTGATCTGTTTATGCGATGCAGTGTTAGCATAAATTTAGCATGCTCATAAGTCAAATTTGATGGATTTGCCAATATAACTGCACTTTTTGAGATCATTCAGATTCTAATTGACCATTGCAAATGTGCATTTTGTTCTGTAGTACGAAGTTTTTCTCTTATGGTTGTGTTCCACTTATTCCCTTCATCAACTGCTTGATCAGGATAATGCATCAGTTGTATCTTGTATAATGGGTTCCATAAGTGCCATAATGCATAAAATGAATGGAGGAAAGACTACATTTACATCAAATAATTAATTTTTTTATTTTTGCTTTAAAAAATCAATGGGTATTTTGATTTGGGCTCTAAATTGAACTGGAACTTTCAATTTTAAAAACAAAATCACTCGAGAACCAGGCCCTTATAAGATGGAGTGATTGTCTAAGCTAAATCATAAGTAAAAATGAGAGAAGAAACTGAAGATTCTAAAATCACACTTTTAAAGTGTTATTTTTCATTTGTTGTCGAGGTGCCCCATATCAGTTATATAATTCTGGTTTCTTGTTAGAATTAACAGGCTTTTCCTTGTTGATCTGTTTGCAGCGTAACTATCGGTTCTTCTACATGTTTATCTCAACATCAACCATCTTATGCATATATGTGTTTGTTTTTTCTTGGATCAACATTAACGAACAACGTGGTACCATCTGGAAGGCTATGTCAGAAGATATCTTGTCAGATTTTCTCATAGTGTACTGCTTTATTGCCATTTGGTTTGTGGGTGGCCTTACAGTTTTCCATTTGTACCTGATTTGCTCAAACCAGGTAACCTTCTTTCTCAAAATGTAATGTAACAAGTGATTGGAAATATGTACGATGTCTTGAGATGTCGATGTATGTTCTAAACAATCTTAAGAAAATTTGAAACAATGTCTTTCAGGTTGTCAACGTATCCGTTGGTATATAGTGAATATTTACAATGCTATGAATGTACTGATGCTGTTACTAGATGTTTTTACATGTAGCAGCATAATTTTTAATGTGTTAATAACATAGACATTATTGTTTGGAGATAATCAATGATTAATTTTTCTTGCATTGTTGCAGTGGAGTCAAAAGCTAATTTGTGTGTACTTTCATTTAGTTTTATTCTGAGTCGTTTTGGATTTTTCATAATTCAGTTGTCTGTTGTATTAATTGATTCTTTCAATGTGTTTTTTCCTTTCAATTCTTTTCTTCCTCAATCTTTGTTTATACTATACCATCTTTAGCTTGTTAAAATTAGAGTTTTAGGGCATACGTGTAAGTTAACATTGAATGTTTTAATGGAAAGTCTTCCAATCCTTATCATAAATTACCATATATTTGGGGTGACTGAAGTTTGAACTATAACAAGGATCAAATCATCAATTTTTTTTTTTTTTTGATAAGTACATTTCTAGGAAAAAAAAAAAAAAAAAAGGCTCAAAAGGGGAGCGCATCCTGGTATACAACTGAACAAAACAAGAGACTACTATAATCTTAGCATATCCACAAAATCCACCATATCTCCTATAGATTTACAGTTTTGCCCATGACCCAAAAAATAAAGCACTTAGAATGGAAAACTTCAGAATCCAAATAGGAGTCTCCTTTCCCTCAAAGTCTCTCCTATTTCTCTCCTGTCACAAGCCCCACCGCAAACAAAGAAGTGCCACTCTCCATGCCTCAAGCGTTCTCAACATGTAAGCTGGCAATCCAATGTACACCAAAAATGTCTAAAATTATGGAATATCCTTCCCTTGCTATCGGGTTATGTAGAAGGAGATGATCATCTCCTCTTCCCATTTACATATGCAACACCAAATACAATCAATTTCCATCTCCTTCTAAGATTGCCTATTGTCAGAATCCTCCCCATTGAAGCCGTCCATGCAAAAAAGCCAAATTCAACGGTGCTTTTGTGCGCCACACTGCCTTCCAAGGAAAAGAATTCTCTCAAATTGCCACTAGTCTCCAGTAGAAAGAATGTTGCTCGAATCTCCAGCAACTAGAGTCCACCCAAATCCACTCATTTATCCCCTCCCCCACCACATTCTGGCAATAAAGCAAGGCCAGAAACTCTTCAATGTCTCCCAACTTCCGATCCTGGAAATTTCTTCCAAAATGCACATCTCATGTCATCCTACCGCTACCGAGACGATAACAGTCGGCTAATGAGATTTGTTTGTCCACGACAATCTCCCCACTAAGCATCCACCCAAAAGTTGATGTGTCTCCTGCTCCTCGGTTGAAACCGAATATGTTTTAAAAATTCATCTCATCTGAGAATGAATTTCCAAACCCCTACTCCTATCAGAGCTCTCACCTCCAACGAACAACATCCTCCCCTACCTTCACTTAATTTGAACAGGATAACTCTCCTTTGTAATATTTGCCTCTCCACCCCAAATATCCACAACCACTTGCCCAATAAAGCTCTGTTGAACCTCTCCGATCTCCTAACACCAAGGCCCCCCATTTGAATAGGCCTGCAAACTTATTCCCAATTCACAAGATGGAACTTGAACTCATCACCCATGCCACCCCATAAAAAGTTCCGTTAGAGTTTCTCATTCCTCTTCACGACAGAGAGAGTAATTAGAAACAGGGAAAGGAAGTAAGTTGAAAGACTCGAAAAGGTACTCTTCATGAGAGTTAAATGCCCCCCTTTTGAGAGATATTGTTGATGTGTGTTTTTCAATGATAAACCACTCGCAATAGAATGAATCCTTATAGGATAGGGCTATAGGATAGGGCTATGTTGAGAGCGTCGAACCTCAAGGACTGTGGTGGATTACTAAGTATAAAATTATTCCCAATCTGATTTAAGAAAAGAGATTGTTTGGTTGTTTTTCTATTTCTAATTGCAATGAAAGTAAAACTGTAATTTTTATTTTTTATTTTCACTAGTAAAACTGTAGTTAGACCAAGTTAAATGATAAGAGATATCAGGGAGATAAGGCCTAGGGAATTGACTTCACCACTAACCTCATAACAATGGTCAATTATATTAAATATAGGAAAATTTATTATATGTATGATTGCTAACCATGTGGCTACAAGCTCACCTTGATTCAATTAAGAGGATATATATAATCGAGCATTAAGTATAAATCATCTTCGGTTGGCACAAATTGTCTACCTAACTACTCTAAACTAAGGTGTAGTACAACTTGTCTTCCCTAAGCATGAACTATCAAAACCCTTGTTTATATATTCAATGAAAACCATTGGATGATCATTACTTCCATAATCACAGAAAATACAAGTAATTTGATTTCAATAATAACAAACCAATTCTAAGACAAGATCATGATTCTATTAAAACTAAATATTAACATTAAATCCAATTGCTTAGTTCAACTAAGTCAATTCTCAAACTATGCAATCACAATCATACATAACTATAAAAACTCCCCAAATATAATTGTAATTAAACCATGTTACTTGGTTAGGGTTACATCAATTCCCTAAGGAAAGATTTAGCTTCTCATGGAGAAGGCAGAAAGCTTCGATGATGTGATGAACTCCATGGACTATAAATTCTGACCGGAATCACCTTCTTCAACCTTCAAAACTCAGCAACAATGGAGAGAAGCCCTTAGCCGCCAATCTCTCTCTCTAAACTTTTCTAATCTTCCCTTCAATTGGGGTAATCTTACCCTAAAATTTACTCCAGAACGGGCCCTGAATGTCAACCATAAGCTTTTGATGAAGTCCGGCCCGTATATGGTAAGAAGAGATCAAAACATACAATTCCCGCAACTATCAGGATTTCTATCTAATGCACTTAGGATCGATCTTAGATGAGCTATGATCGATCCTAAGTCCCGTTGCGATCAATCGTAGCTTGGCTGGGATCAATCGTAGCTTGGCTACGATCGATCCTAACCCTGGCAGTGAATTATAGGAGTTTGGCAAGGCTTGCAATATATTGGTTAAATCTGCTGAAGTGATTAGGATCGATCCTAGCTTCATGGATTTCCCCTTCTCATGCTCCTTGAGCCCGGAATCATCCCCGAACACACCAGTGCCTCTCCCAGTCCTTGGAAACATCATTAAAGGCTTGAAATAGGTAGACTTGATTGGTTTTGATGATGAGTACCTGAAAATAACCGAAACCAAGTAATTAAGGTATTAACATATGAAACTTTAAGGGCTTGAATGTGCAACATTCAGCACTTATCAATTGTTTCTTCCAATCCACTAGCCTTTTCTCATAACAATCAATATCTGGGTCCCACATAGCTACTCGCCTGTAGGGCGATCCCATTAGCCTAGATAGGATATCGGAAAAGTCGCTACACCACACCCCAAGATACTTGCCAAAGAGGTGATCTCCTCTACCTCCCCTACTGGCACAATCTCCTCTTCCCAACATCGAATTTCAGTCCGAACACAGAGAAAATGCAACTGAGCCTTATCCGCATCACAAAACACAACAGTACCATTGTCAAACAATAGATGTGAGATCTCCAGCTTACCGGAGCTCCCTACCCACTTTGAACCCTTTGATAAAACCCAACTCCATAGTCATCCCCATCAGCCTGCTAAATGCCTCCATCACTATGATGAACAGGAAGAGGAAAAGCGCATCTCTGTGCCTCAAGCCCCGCAAACCACCATAGAAACCAGTTGGAGACCATTCACCAAAATAGAAAGCTCCCAATTCTGATGGAAAAACCCTATGTTGTACCCATTCGGCCTGGGAGCCTTCAAGGCAAAAAAAACCTCCTCATCCTCAAATGACCTCTCTAGGCGATCTCTATTCTCCAGGCTTTAAGTCTTCTTTCCAGAGCAGTATGGTTTCTGCAATTCCGATATCCAAGTCAAAATTTATGACCAAAACACTGAAGCTGATCCCGAACTTTCTTTCCAAATTTGACTATGGAAATTTCCTTTCTTCAAAGTTAATTCCCATAACGAATTTTGCTTGCCGATAACTCTTCTAAAAATCTTCTAGAATTCTCCTTGAATGATCTTAGGCATTGGACCACCTTGGATACTCCAGCTCTTGCACGTTTCTTTTCGTCCATCGAACTTAATGCACCATTGATCGATTGAGGCTACAACATGTTTCGAGCAAAGGCAACTGGAATTTCTGGAATCGAAATAATATTTAGGTCGATCGATCGAAGCTCTGAATAGTTCGATCGAAGCTCCAATTTTCCTACAAAATAAAACATGCAATGACTCATATAATTTATGCATTAATATGCTATTTTAACCAAGAAAATTATGCAACAATTGAAAATATGGATTTATTTTATTTTTTTGTATAAAACATGAAAATTAATGAAATATAAATGCGATAATGCGTAATAAAACTATAATAATAATGCAATTTTAAGCTATTATCATAAACTTCTCCGTGCTCTTCTAAGTTTTTATACAATGACTAAGGATGGTTCTTTTCTAATGTCTTAAAGGGAAGTTTGGATAGCTGACAAATGGAATAATTCTCTTGTATTCTACATAGCAATTTTTGTCAAATTGCAATAAAACCCCTGAACTATTCCAGTTGCAGATTACCCCCTCCAACTATTATTTTAGCAGAAAACTCCCTTATATTGTCACGCTTTTCGCAGATTGCCTCCTTCCATTAAACTGCCAAAAAAATGTAATGACTCTTTAGTCAGATGCTAGTCATGTGAGATCAATAAATAATAATATGGCAAAGTTGCCCTTTTAAAAGATTTATAATAAGGTGAATTGCAGTAAACCCTGTTGCACAAAATTCCCTCCAGTTATTATTTTCACAAAAAACTTCCTTATACTATCACGCTTTATGCAGATTGCCCCATTCCGTTGAGATGCCCGGAATGGTGATTATTCTTTTCATGGGAACCTTAAATAGTTCGATTAATGGCGCCCTAGGATGGTGAGCTGAGAGCAAAAATTCCAAGTGAGGAATTCATGGGTGCCTTGGGATGGACAAACACCATTACACAAAAAGACATGGTTTTGTATAGTGGCAGTATCGTCTTTTCAACCTTTCAGTGTTTTTTATTGTTTTTATTTCTATTTTAAGGAAAGGTCAAATATTTATATTCACATTCCTCGGGGGGATGTTGTTGGGAATTTTCTCAAATTCCTATTCTAATTATGTTTCTATTTTAGAGTTGTATTACATTACGAAATTTCTTGTTAAGCAAGTCTTGGGCTCTAATCCTTGTCCAATAAGGAATTGGGTCTAGCAATCTATAAATAGACCTAGGTTATGGGTTGAGACTTATGAAGTTGAGAGAGACGGAGTTTTGATGGGTATAGGTATTTAATAGGTTAGTAGAGTAGCAAAAACACTGAGGCAGATTATGCAACAGAGGAGGTTTACTGCAATTTGCCCCTATTTTAATGAGTCCATTTTACTTTTGTTGTATTTGAAGTGAGTCTACATTGTAATATGCAGCAACTAGTTTCTAGAGTTTAATTTATTTATATATTCATTATTTATTTTGTTGATCAATTTGAAAAATTTTCAATCAGACCTTTATAAAATTGAGGATCATTTTGATGGTTGTAACTTGAAAGATTTTGATACTGTGAAGTTATATAGGTACATTGATACAGATGATGTAACAAAAGACTCTGGCTTCGTAGGTTTGAACTAATTTACAACTTTTGAAGGGTTAGCAAAATTTGTTTCTGTAATCTGTATGGATTCTTAAAACTTAGTGAGCTCTAAGTTAACTAATTATCTCATTTACATGAAACATTTCTTTGGATCTTTCACTATGTGATATAATTACCTAAGCATGAACTAGAAACTCTGAAGTCTTTAAATAGGACAAATAGAGTTTTTAGCAAAACCGAATTTTACAAGTTGAATAGGTTGTCTTACTCCCCTTTCCTGTTGAAAATATACCCCATTTACATCTCAGCAAGATAATAATAATGTAATGTCTTCCCATTTATCATTTTTTATGGTGCATTTAGATAGACACATACCTACATAGATAGACAAACCTTGCATGTGCCGTACATGCAAGGTTTATATCTTTGATGAGTAAATGTTTGGAATTAATATCTTGCTCTGCTAGTCTATATCTTTGCTGAGTAAATGTGTGTTTAGACCTCATATAATCCTTTTCAATCCTTGCTTTTGTGCAGACAACTTATGAGAACTTTCGGTACCGATATGACAAGAAGGAAAACCCATATAACCAGGGGATCATAGAAAACCTTAGAGAAATCTTTCTCTCTAAGATCCCACCATCATTGAATGAATTCCGAGCACTAGTTCAGGAAGATGAAAATATGGTGATGGAGCCCACAACTCCAAATCTTGTGGGAAGTATCACTAGCTCGAAGGAAAAGATTGATATTGAAATGGGATCTAAGCTGGCAGAAGAGAGTGGCTTTTCACTTCCTGAAATTTTGCGGAATTTGGATTATGACAATATAGAGGATAATTTGAAAAACAAGGAAGGAAGTGGAAGAATTGATTCTGACCAAGTTTTCTATTCTGTTGAACAAGAACCAAAAGGCTCTTGGCGAAGCTCCACTCTTGAAGATGGGTCAAATGCAGAAGAGAAAATTGATGAAGGAAGTAGCTCTTGTCAAATCACAAATCCGGTTCTTCAAGTATGAGGTATTTATCTTCCTCTTCTTTCTATTGTGTATGGTTAATTTTTACTTTTGTGTCTTCAGCTAAGCATCTTTCGGTTCTTTTTAAATTGTTGGATACTTGGATCTGCAAGCAGATAATGTTTCTCCTAGATTTAAAACTTGAAACAGACAAATCCACAACAAGGCAAACGCATATGCTAGAAAATAAGAATTTTTCGAAAGAAAAAAAATTTAAAAGTTCACTAGACAAATAAAAGAGAAGACTAAGATTAGTACAAATTTTGGATATGAATATTTAAAATGGTTGTTATGTAATTGTGTGTAACAAAATGCTTTCAGCTCTATTATTTTTTCTTCTTCTTCTTCCCTTTATTTTTTTTTTTGTATACATGATTTACAAAATTTATTAAGTTGCCCCTTATAAAACTTATTTTGCCCTATCAAAAATTTCCCACCCGTTACTGTTAATGATCTCCTCTTTTCCCTCTTCCTCTCTCAGACACCATATCCCTATGCGACTTTCTCACTCCCTTCTCCCCCTCGAATTAGATGAAGTGGACCAGCTATTTTAGCCTAGAGTCCCTAGAAAACTTATTTATCCTAAACCTGTTGACGTACTTGACAAAAGTTGTTATCAACAAATGAAATATTTAGATCTGTCTTTCTTAAAAATCTCAACGTGACTCTATAGATGCTACAAAATAGTCTCATTTTTTGAATGGCATGAATGATGGGGAAAATACTATATTAAAGAAAAATGATTATTTCCATGCCTTGCATAGTATGTAATTTATGAGTCTACGTTTGTTGCTAGTAATGATTCATTTCTATTTGCCCTTAGTGGGGCAAATGTAGCAGATTCAACATGAATTTCTTCCATTACAAGTGATGGCTTTCACATGTTTTTAACTAGGTATTGCTTTGGGACTTCTCTTTCACTGCATTGACACTATGATGGATGAGAAGGTTCTCTTGTTCTATGATCACAACATTTACAAGCATTGGTGGACCGAGACTGTGTAATGTTCCGATTGTAGAGGTCGACTGCAGGAAGTTTTTTATACCCGAAAAATGAAAATATCAATTGAGCACTCTTCAATTTCAGATTCACACTTGTTGTAAGTAGTACTGTCCATCATGCTCAAAATAATGAACTTGCAAAGAAGTTGAATTGTTCCTGTAAAGGTGAGAATGGTCAATGGTTCTTTAGATTTTCTTTCATTTTATTTTTTTCCCCCCATCCCCTTTTTCATTTCGCCATTTTAAACTTGGATTGGAGACATTCTGCTAGGTCAAATTGTTGTTCTCCTTGGTTTATTTGATCTCATGCAGTCGCATTTGAGATGTTTTTATAACCTAAAGTTTACAGGTATCTATAGTGCTTTCTGGACAATTCTCAAGATTCTCAAGCAAAATTTCTTTAAAAAGCAAAAGGGAACTTACTATGACATTCCTTATGGTTTGACATTATTATCACCATTAGATTAAACATTTTTATATAATTGAACAAATTATCTAACCTCTCCTGGGGTTTAACAATTCTGCACACAGTGCTCCTAAGTTTTGAAAAATTACTCTGATCTCCCCTAAAGTTTGTGCTTTGGTATCACTTGCCCCCCTTCAACGTTTGAGAAAGCTGATGTCAGCATAAAAATATAATTTGAATAAAATAATAAATACAAATGTAATCCTGATTTTACCCTTCAAACATACAAAAAGAGTATAATTTCCTCCAACTGTTTTGTGAAATCACATCTTTATCCCTATTAAAATAATCACAAAATGACAAGATTATCCTTAACTTTATCTACTTAACTAACCTAACTTTGTCTACTTAACTAACCTAACTTTGTCTACTTAACTAACCAAAATCTTTTATATACATGTAGCCATATCTATGCATATACATACAATTATGCACACACTAACTAGAGAATCGGTTCGAATCGAACCGAACTGGTGTTTCGGTTCCTTTTCCTCAACGGTTAAGGTTTTAAATATTTAGACTTCATCATCTTCCCTAAGAATAAGTTGGCACTTAGTGAGTGCTTAGACATATTCTACGTTCTTTATTAGTTTGTTATAAAGGTTTTAAGTGTTTATTCTGGTGTTTGAATATCATCGATAAACTAGTGCTACACTGCATAAATTTTGCATCTCCCTTTCTTATCTATTTGGAGACTTGTCCGTGATATACTACTATTCCTTCTTTTGATCGCTTGATTAGTTTTACAAATTTTCTATGGTGTAAACAAAAGAAAGTTCCAAACTTAGGGCAATTTGTTCCTATAAAGGTTTCCCCCCCCCCCCCCCCCCCCCCGAAGAACAAACCAAATTTTATCTAAAGAGAACTGTGGAACCGAATCAAACCGGACCGGTCTTTCATGGTTCGGTTCGGTTCCATGTCCTAACGGTTCAAATTTTGATTTTAATTTTTTAGGAACAATTCGATTTCAATTTAGTCAGGAATCGTATCGAATCAGACCGTATGCACCCCTACATACACATTAGAGAGAAAGTAAATCACGAAAACCCTAAAACACCATGCAAGATTTAAACCTTAATCGAGATATAATTGGATCAACCCATTACAAACGGGTCTTTTTGGCCCCACAGTCCTCCATGGAAGAAGAATCATCAAACTCTCCCACCACCCCCTCTCCTCCGCCATCAGTGGTGGCGCAATCATCTCCCCACCCTCAGCCTCAAAACCACCCTCAGCCGGCCGAACTCAACAGCTTTGTCGGCGATCTCAGCACCTACATCCCCCATAATCCTGGGCCTAACCCTTGTCTCCAACCTCAATCTCAGCACCACCCTCATCTTCACCGCCCTTTACAACATCGCCATCAGCCTTCTCTTTGCCATCCCCATGCTCGTCCAACCAATGATGTCCATTGCCACCGTCACTGTCTCCGAAGCTCCCCACCTCATCGTCCCTAAATCGCCACCGCCATAATCTCCACTCCCTCCATCCTCCCTCTCCTCGACGTCACCGGCCTCATATCCTTCTTCTACCACTTAATTTCCCACCCCCGTCGTCCGTGGCATCCAACTCTCCTAAGGCCTCTCTTTCACCTTCTTTGTCGTAGAATGAATAGCAGATCAATGGTGGCTTGTTATATTTAGAGTGAGTTTAGATGGGATGATTTGGAGGGATAGGGAAAGAAAAGAAAAGAATTGATAGTGTGTTTAGGTGGTTTAAAATGAGAGAAAGAAAAGATAAGGAGAGATAGGGATGGCTAAACCCCCTTATCCCTCATTTCTTATATCTCAAAAAATGAGAAGATAGGGAGATAAATGATAGTGTTTAAGTAGTATTTTCATAATCTCAAAATTGCCCTCAACAATTATAATGAGGAATTTATTATTCCAATCATATCCCATCTATTTAAAAGAACATAATAGTAATTTGGTTGTTTTCATTTATCTTCTTTTCTCCCTTTATCAGATCCAAACATGAATACTATCATTTTTTTTCTTTTCTCTTCTATCTATTCAAACAAAAATAGAGATTATTGTTATCATTTCTTTTATTTTCTCTCATAACTAATATTATCCTTTCTTTTTTTTTTTCTCTTCTATATATCCAAACAAAGCCTTAAAGAGGGGAAGAAGAGAGTAAGGAGAGAGACAAAATGGGTTTCTCACATGGATTCCTGGGTAGCCCATTTGAACCTGGGTGATCCATTTGTACTCACCATTATTACTAATAGTGCCTCCCAAGATTACATCTCTCCATAGTCCATATTTACAGACAGGTACATATATATATATACACAGTGATGCCCAACTACTCCCAGTGGGCAAGAAATAATATACTCACTTTAAATTGTAACATTAGGATCTAATCCTACAATTAATTTAAAAAATAGTTATTTTAAGAAATTACCATTTTTCTAATAAGATATTAATTGTAAAAACGGATCCTCCCCAATAAAAAATTTCTCCAAGCATCTACAGGTATTAATCCTACGACTACTAAGGCGCCACATCAACAGCTTCTTTTACCCACATTAAAAAAAAACTTTTTTTTCTTTCTCGTCTCTTCTTTCTCTCTCCTATACACACACACACACACACCTGGCTAGAACAGACCCAGTTTACTCCTTTTTTTGATCTGCCATTGACAACTCTCTCTCTCAAACCTCCTCTTTCTTTCTTTATTTCTATGTCGTTCCAGAGAGTTGTGTGTCTCATCGAATTGGGTTCATAAGAATCTGTTGAAAAGTGGCGAACAAATGCTTCAAACCTTCAATCAACAAAATTGTTCAAGCTTGAAGCCTTCGAATCAATTAATAATTCCAATGCTTGGTGATGGCAATCAACAAAATTGTTCAAACTCTTAAATATATATTATTGGAGAACTATAATTGAATTTCTTAAATCGGATATAAATACAAGTTGAAGGATCATAATCAATTTTAATTGGAATTGACAAAAATAAAAAATCGATTCAACAGTAAAGAAGAGAGTTGAATAGTATATACTCTGTATATATATATATATATATATATCTAGCCATGTGTATAAATATATATATATATATATATATAGAGAGAGAGAGAGAGAGTAATGATCTCTTGCTCCCTGTGGAGCAAGAAAATTCATCCGCACTTTCTATAGTGATCATTTGATCTAATCTAACGATTATTATAGAAACCTCCTTACATCATTTCCTTTTAATATAAAACCATTGTTAGTATTTATAATTTCTAAATTTAATATTTACATACCACTAATTACAAAAATATAAGGCAATTACTCCCAAAAAAAATTGAAACCTCTTCTTTTATGGAAATCGCGTCTCTCTCAAACAAAAAATTACAAGAGACAAGAAAAAAAAATAGTAAAAAAAGATATTTTAATCCATTAAATTTTAATTATGATTCATTTTTATTTACTTATGATTATAAGGAGACAAAGGCAGAACTTGCAAATTCAATTTGTATGGAGAAAGAGAAAGTACTCTTGTAGGTCTTTGTTTGAAAGAGACGTTATTTTCAGAGGTGAAAAGTTTTCTATATATGAATTTTTGAATAATTACCTTTTATTGTTGTAAGTAGTGGTTTGGTAAATGTTAAATTTGGAAACTAGAAATAGTGATATTGGTTTTGTATTAAAAGGAAAGAATATAGGTGGGTTTTTATAGTGAACGTTAGATTAGATCTAATGGTCTCAATAGAAAGTGCGGATAAATTTTCTTACTCCATGAGGAGCAAGAGATCATTACTCTATATATATATATATATATATGTTATATATAGGAGAGAAAAGAAAGAGAGCACAAAGTGAAAAAAAGTTTTTAATGTGGGTAAATTTGTAATTTAAAATAGTTAGATATTTTTAAAAAGTGCCGTAACTTTTAGTATATAGAGTGAATCAAATGAGTTATTGACGTAGCGCCTTAATAGTTATAGGATTAATACCTATAAATACTAGGAGAGAATTTTTCTTGGAGAGGATCCGTTTCCACTAATTGTAAATTGACTATTATGGATAGTTTCTTAAAAAAAAAAAACTTACCACCACCTCCACCGCCTACCCCACCACTGCCGCCACCTCGCGGTGGTGAGGGTGGCGACAGTGGTGGGGGGCAGGTGGTGGCAGTGGCGACGGTGGACGCCGAAGACCGTGGAGGTTGCAGTAGTGCCAATGTAGGTGGTGGAGGTGGTCCATTCCCTTTCTCTTTTATATTTTTTATATTGGGTTACATGATTTGATGATTTTGCTTGTCTTTGAATTCATCTTTACGCACACACATACAAATAAACATATTTTGAGAGTACAACATTCTTTTGTAATTGGATGATTCAGTAGGTAGTTGTTTCATAGACATAAATTAATTACAAGGTTGAGAAGGGGACGATTGTGAGTTAATTAAAATAGAATATTAATTTTTTTCGTTTTAAGAAACTATTCATAATTTCAAAATTAATATTAATTAAAAGAATAATAATTTTTTAAAATAACTATCTCTTCCATTAGCCCTAGGATTAAATCTCAAGGCTATAATTACAAGTGAAAATATTACTCCTTGCCCACCAAAGAGCAGTTGAGCACTACTCTCTCTCTCTATATATATATCTAAAACAACCTTGACACTGCTACAAAGGGTTCAAGCTTTTGCCAAACAGATTATTATTATTATAGCATTCTCATTCTGATTTTTTCAAACACCTGATATTTTTCTATTTTGACAATAACCGGGTGTTTTTTTCCCCCTTAAATTTGGTTGGTATTATTTTTATCTCAAAAATTTTGGAACTAGATCAGAGGCAAAAATCTTTGTTTAAGAGAGAGACACTAGTGAGCAAGAGACTTGAAGAGAACCTAGTATTTTTTATTTTTTTCT